ACAATTCCACAAGAAATTCTTTTATGGACTTTGCTCAGAAAAGGCAAAACCCAAAATTTATAGCCACAGACCTCAGCTCCTTTCCTGTTTCTAAAGGCAGAGGTACAGGCTGTGAACCTAAGGCTTCCTCCTGTGCCACTGCCATGAGAGCAATGCTGTGTTCTGTAAGACTCAGAACAGCCATTCCTCCTCTCTGGCAATCCCCTTTCTTTCTTCCTTGTCACTGGGAACAGTAAAGAGTTTTCCTTGTTTATAGTCCCTGCATCCAAGATACTTGTTCTACAACTAAAAATAAAGATCTAGGTTAGGAAGGAATCCCTAGGGAAACTCACTGCTATAATGGGCAGTAGACAGGAAGACCTACAGCTTAGAACTATAGGCAGACTCACCAACAAAGCCAAACAATGGGGTGCATGTTTTTAAGTTACTCTAACTCCTCCATAGATACTCTGCACACCTGCATCAGCTGTTTACAGCCTGAGAAAAGAATACTGAGACAAAAGTCACTTTTTCCAAATCTAGCATCATGTTCTTGAAGCCTTGGCTTGCTTTTGGGCAAGAGTGGGTAGCAGGAGGGAAACCCAATTGCCCAGATCTACTAAAACAAATCGAGAGATCAATGAACTTGGTACTGAGCAAGGTCATCTGCTGCCAACCCAGTGTCCTCCCTTCCCGGCAAGTTCCAGTCCAGTGCTGAGCATCCAGCTGCACAAGAAGGAAAGGTGGGGCTGGGGATGTAGTTCAGTAGTAGAGCATGCTTACCTGGCATGTGCAAGGCCCTGAGTTTGATTCCCAGTGATACACCACACACACACACACACACACACACACACACACACACAAGGATGGATGCTTTTCAACTGCTATATGTAGACACTGCTGTAAAGTTTTCCTTTGAGTGTCAAACGACAGTCCCTTTCCTCTCTCACTACAGGTTCAATGCAATAAGGGACATCCTTTTGAGAAGAGGGCTGGAAATCCCAACCATGATGGTTTGGCACCCTGACTCACTAGAAAGTAACCGCTGGGAAGTACTGTCCTGCAAGGTGGTGGCATGTTCAGTAGACATTGGCTTGCTTTTCCTAGATTTTAAATACTGAAGTCACCCCCTACAGTGTTATTTCATTTTTTTTTTAATATGGAATGCTTCGTAGATTTGCATGTCATCCTTGCATAGGGGCCATGCTAATCTCTTGTGTCGTTTCAATTTAAGTATATGTGCTGCTGAAGAGAGCACTCTACAGTGTTATTTTAAATAATGTACCTGAAAAGGAAAAGGTTATGATCACAGTAGCTCTCAAAGCTCAGGGAAACCTTAGCTCATCCAGAGAGAAGCCATTATCTAACTGCACCTGGCCAGGCAGGTAGGTGTCCCCTCCAAAATTCAAGTGGAAGGGAGTTTAAGGGAGGGAAAGGAAGGAACAGAACATTCTAGAAAGAGGGTGGGAATGACTATAAAACATCATTAGTAGGCTTAATGCCACTGAACTGTACACCTAAAAATGGTTGAAGTGGTAGTGGGCAGGAGGTCCTACCTGCATTCCTTGATAACTTGGTGGATGTCAAACTCGAAGGCTGCCAACAAGATGTTATCCAGGGGCTCTGGGTTGCTCTCACCTCCCAGAAACATGTCCAGGCTGGACTGTGGAAAGGCGACGGCCCACTCAATTTCCAGGATGGAAGCAAAGACTCAGGGGACAGCAGGGTTGTTTTACAGGGAACCCTTGAGAGGGGTGAGGTATTCCTTCAAAAAGGATTAAAGGCCAAAGCCTTCCTGCTCCCAAGGAGGTACAACTCAAAGAGGCCACACACTGAGAATCAGGGAGCCAAAAGGATCCTCCAGGAGCCCCCTACCAATGAAGCTCACTCACCTGGGCATAAAAGTGCAAATCAATAGGTTTCACTGTGGGGTGAGAGTACAGCAGCCGAGTCACTAGGAAATGGTACCAGTTACTCAGAAGCTCCTTCTGCTCCAACAAGGCAACCTCATCTCCCAGCATAATCTATGGAGAGATACTCCCTGAGCTCTGTACTCTCAGGGGCAGCTCCCCTATGATTCTGCTGATCTCCCCTGGGGACAAAGGTTTCAACTATAGGCTGAAAGCTCTTTCCTTCCCAGCCAAGTGAATGACAGTTCTGTCCAAGGAAGAGCCAACTCCAGGCTGCCTAGGATGTCAGGGCCCCAGGGAAAAATCAACCAGACCTGACCCAACTTTCTCCAGACCTTGCAGAGAGATTCCAGACGAGGGCTGGCAGCAAACGTGCCATCCTGTAGGTGCCGCTCACACTCCTCACACCAGTGCTGCCACTTCAGTTCCAGCTCTGTCAGCGTCTGGGTGTTGCCAGGCTATGGGGAGAGACTGGCTATGAGGTGCCACCCCACCTAACTCTTCATGCTCCCCCATCTCCCATGACATGACCAGCAACAAGGTGGCTCCCACATACACTGAGAATGGGCATTGTCCTCATCAGTTCCCCCAGGATGCGGCACATGCCTGCAGAGGCAGGATTAGCATCAGCTTCCTTGGACAGCATCTGTCGGGCCTCATCCAGACGGCCCTGCAGCACCAAAATGGTCACCTACAAAGAGATGAGGGACCATGAGCAGGAGACCCAGCTGTATAAGGCTTTCTGGCTTCTCTGACAGGTGACAGGTGGCTCTTAGTCCCTAGTCAGCCATGGGAAGAGCAAAAGGTCCTCCCTTCCAGAAGTAATCCATGACATTGATCTCAGAGTATTACCCCCATGCTTACCAAACTGGAATTATAAGTAAGAATCAATTTTTGCTTTTTTTTGCCAGCACTGGGGATTGAACTCAGAACCTCATGCTTGCTAGACAGGCCCAATCTTACTACTTGAGCCACTACTCCAGCCCTTTTTGGTGATTTTTTTTTCCAATTTAGGGGCTTGTAAACTATGTGCCAAGGGCTGGCTTCGAATTGTGATCGTCTTGATTCCTGATCTCTGCCTTGTAAGTAGCTAGGATTAAAAGTGTGAGCCATTGGCACCTGGCTGAAACCAATTTTTTTTAATAATAAGTGAAATAAGCCAGGTGCTGGTGGCTAATCAGGAGGCAGAGATCAGAAGGATCACAGTTCTAAGCCAAAAAAAATACCCAACCCGAAAAAGGGTTGGTTGAGTAGCTTAGGTGGTAGAGCGCCTGCCTAGCAAGCATGAGGCCCTGGGTTCAAACCCCAGTACCACCAAAAAAAAAAAAAATTAAATTACATATACATCGTATATATGGGCTAGAGATGTAGCTCAGTAGTAGAGTGCTTGCCTAGTATATACATGGCCCTAGGTTTCATCCCCAGAACAACACACACAATCTATTGACATATATAAATACAAATATATACAATATAAATATAACAAGTCTTTATTATCAGCCAGGTGCCAATGGCTCATGCCTGTCATACTAGCTACTCAGGAGGCAGAGATTAGGAGGATCGCAGTTTGAAGACAATCCAGGCAAATAGTTCTGTGAGACCCTATCTTGAAAAACCCTTCCAAAAAACAGGGCTGGTGGAGTGGCTCAAAGTGAAGGCCCTGAGTTCAAGCCCCATTTGCAAAACAAACAAACAAATTTATGTATTTAAGTGGTTTTGGGATCCAGTACTAGGCACTCCCTAGGCAAGCACTCTACAACAAAGCTACATCCCTACTAACATTTATTTATAACCCCCATATCAACATTTTTTGTTTGTTTTGGTATCACTGAGGACTGAGGTTTGAACTCATGGCCTCACACTTGCTAGGTAGGCTCTCTATCATTTGAGCCACTCCACCAGCCCTTCTTTGTGTTGTTTTTTGGATACAGCCTTGCAAACTATTTGCCTGGACTAGCTGTGAACTGAGATACTCCTTACCCAAATAGCTAGTATTAAGGGTGTGAGCCACGGGCACCCAGCTCCCAAGTCAATATCTACGGCACTCCTCACCATCACCTGAAGACCGATGCAGGGCAGCACTCTGCCATCATCTGTCAGCTCTCGTATTGAAAACAGGTCTTTTCCACAATACAATTAGTGCCGTGTTTCCTACATTTTTGAGTATTTGGGTCCTTAAATGCTATCTAGTGTTCCTAAGTGCAAGAAGGCTATGAGGTGTTAGATAAGCTTCATTCAGTGCTGCTGATCCTGAGTTCAGTGTTAATGAATCAACCATATATTTTAAAAGCTGACACGTGCTGGGTGCCAGTGGCTCACACCTATAATCCTAGCTTCTCAGGAGGCAGAGATCAGGAGGGTAGTGGTTCAAAGCCAGGCCAGGCCAATAGTTTGAGACCCTACTCAAAAAAACGCATCACCAAAAAAAAAAAAAAAAAAAAAAAAAAAAGGCTGACAGGTACAGTGTGGTGAAACACCTAAGCAGAGGCAGAGTGACAGTGAGTCCCAGGCCAGCCTGGTCAACATAGGGAGGCCCTATCGCAAGCAAACAACAAGAACAGCAGCAAAAGACTGCCTTTAAATAGAAACACAAAAACAATGTGCACGTGTATGTATGTTACCTATTTAATTTTTGGTGGGATTGAGATTTGATTCAGGGCTTCACACTTGCAAAGCAAGTGCTCTACCATTTGAGCCACACCTCCGGTCCATTTTGCTCTGGTTATTATGGAGATGGGGGAGGATCTCTTAAACTATTTGCCTGGGCTGGCCTTGAATCATGATCCTCCTGATCTCAGCCTCCCAAATTGCTAGGATTATAGACATGAGCCACTGGCATCCAGCTTGTGTATGGTGTTTTGAGATGGGGTCTCACTAAATTGAACTCCTGGGCTGAAGTGATCCTCCAGCCTCCAGCCCCATCAAGTAACTAGAACTATAGGCAGGAACCACCATGCCTACAGGTGGCTATATGTTGACCTGTTGAACTATACTGGAGGTACAGTTCAGTGGTAGAGAGCTTGCCTAACACGCATGAACACTTGCCTAGCTCAAGGATCCCCAATAATGCAAATAAATAAATAAATAAATAAATAAAAAGTGACCAGAGCCTTGCAGGTACCTAACCCTGCATATCCCATAAAGCAGTGATTCAGTATTCACTAGTTCAGTATTCATGGCAATTTTATACAGCATAACTACCACAAATAGTAACAACTGACTATGCAAGAACATGTGTAAAACATACAAAGTAAAATTCTTTCTACCATAAGTCATGCTCACAAGTCCCATACACTACATATGCTGCCCATGCACATACACAGAGACAACTCCAAAACGTTCCCTCTCTAGCTGGATTTCCTTTTCTGAATTCCACATGTGTGTATCCATCTGCCTACTCGGCATCTTTACTTGGATCTCTAACAGGCATCATAAATCAACATGTCTAAAATTAAACGCCATTTCCTCTAACTCACCAATCATATCCTCCTCCATTTTTCTATTTCTCACAATCCACATCTAATCCATCAGTGAATCCCATCAACTCTTTTTACACTGTATATAACTCTAATCACTTCTCATAACAACTGCTAAGCTAATCCCGGTCATCTTTTCCCAAAATCCCAGTCATCTTTTTCTGAGGTAGTCAGTACAGTAGTCTCCAAACTGGTTCCTGCTTCGCATTTACTCTGGTTGAAGCCAGGCAGCCAGGAGGGCCTGTAAAAGCCTAGACCAGACAGCAGCACGCCTTTGCTCAGCTCTCCAATGCCCTCTCATCCATCTGACTCAGGAGTAAAACAGAAGCTCTCTCTGTGCATCAAGCATGTAGACTATCACCCATTCAAGGACTTTGGATAATTAAATCTCCCAACAGCCCTATGGGACAGATATTATTCTTCCCACCTCCCCCAATACAGATGAGGACACAAAAGGCTGTTAAGAAACTCACTGACTATATCACAGCTAGTGAGAAGAAAAGCTAGGATGCTAACCTAGGCAGTCTGGTACCAGGGACAATGCTTTTAACTACTCTGCTGAACTCTAGTGCTTCCCCAGGAGGCCTTCTTCAACCTGGCCTGCTAACTTTCTGCTAATTTTGACTCTGTCCTTTGCTCACTCTGCCTCTAGGTCACGCGTTTGAAGGTCTCAGCGTTCGTAGGTCTCACTGTCTGGAATGTTATTTTCTATCTTCATCAGCACAGCTCTCCTCATCTCAGGTCTCACCTCCATGTCACTCATGAGTAAGGCTTTCTTGACCCTCTCCCACCACTGCCCATCAGCCTCCCTTCTCCCCTCTTCACTACCTGCCATTTGGTCATGGCTGTTTCCTAGTGCCTTGCAAATAGGAGGCACTCAAATTCTGAGTGAATGAATCAGAGACTCAAAAACCTCAGACTGATACTTCTTGAGCAAAAGTGTGCCCCTTCCCCACACTATTCTCTCAGTGCCCAAAGACAATGCTACTTAGCTGAATTCCAGATCCAAAAAGTTTAACTAACTTTCCACTATTTCAGTCGACTGACAACCTCCTCCTTGACATGGTGCATGGGCGTGTGTACACATGCACGCACCCATGCACACACGCACGCACACACACAACACACACACGCACACTTCCAAACTGATAATCCAAAATGACTGGAATTATCACTTGTTTTGTTCCTACCAGCCTTATGAGATAAGTTATACACCATGAAAATTCCCGTTTAAGTGTACAACTCACTAATCTGTAGGAAGGTTACAGAGTTGTGTACCATCACCACAATCCAGATTTGCAATATTACTTTTTTCTGTGTGTGCTGCTGGGCATCAAACCCAGGGCCTCCCACATACTAGGCAAATGCTTTACCACAATTCCAATCTCCAGCCTCTAGAATATTTCTATCATGTCAAAATATTCACTCACACTTGTTTAAATGCCACCCCACCCTATCCCTATCCCTATCATTTAGCTTTGTCTTCTCTTCTTAGATCTGCACACAAATCTCATTTCCATTTTCACTGAAAAGTCTACAAAGGAGTATTCTTTTTCCATGCTAAGAAAAGATTTTATAAAAAACAAAAGAAAAAACTTTATAAAAGTGACTCCAAGCCAGTCACAGCTGATTCACATCTGTAATTCTACTGGGGAGGCAGGGATCAAGAGGATTGTGGTTTGAAGTCAGCCTGGGCAAATAATTCTTGAGGCCCTATCTCAAAAATAACCAACACAAAAACAGGGCTGGTGGAGTACCTCAAGTGGTATAGAATGAGCCCTGCCTAGCAAGCATGAGGCCCTGAGTTCAAACCCCTGTAACACCAAAAAATAATAAAAAAGCAACTCCAAGCTGGGTACTGGTGGCTCAAGTCTATAATCCTAGCTACTTGGGAGGCTCAGATTGGGAGGATTGCAGTGTGAGGCCAGCCCGGGCAAACAGTCATGATACTACCATCACCAAAATAAACAGAGCAAAATGGACAGTGATACAGTGCCTGCATTGTAAGCACCTGCTTCATAAGCTCGAAGTTCTGAGTTCAAACCCCAGTACCAACAAAAATAAACAAATAAAGCCTTCATAATAATCACAGACTCAAAGAGCTGGGGAAGGGCATGGAGACCTGGTAGGCAATTTCATACCCACCCAGGAGCAATGGAACAGCAACATCCAAGGTGGAAGGAAGGAAGAGGTCCAGCCTGCACAAGACATCTTACCAAATTCCAGAAGCTCTCATGTTTATTTGGATTCTCACTGCCCAGAACATCTGCAGACAGAGTATCAACCTCACACACATGGAGTCGGACCCAATCTAGGAGGTGAAGGAGGAGAGGACCAGCTGGGAAGAGAGAATCACATCACACACAAATAGGTAAGCTTCAGTTCCTTTGGGCGGGCAGAGTGGTTCAAGTGGTGGACTGCCAGCCTAGCAAGCAGGAGGCTGAGTTCAAAGTTCAAATCCCCCAATACTGCTTCATCTGCAGTAGGGTCCATTATACGCAAAGTACAGGGGTTTCTCCCTCTCAAGTTGGCACACATGTGATCCTGGATAAAGGACTGAGCTAGGAATACTAGGAATAAACAAATGGGACTTTCGCTGAATCCTCTCTGTGTCAGGCAGCTCCAATCTTTTACTGAATTCTAGAAAGGACTGAAACTTGATTCACTCCTCACTACCCCCTTAGCGCCACATTCTTTATGAATATGCAACAGCTATGTAAGTAATGGCCGATTAAGGGCTAATACTGACTAGGTGCTACATATGCAGTGATGATAAATACAATAATCTCCTCAAAATCTGTTGGAGAAAGGTTATTTTTTTTTTTTTTTTTTTTGGCAGTACTGGTGGTTGAACTCAGGGACTCCCACTTGTATGTAGGCACTCTTATACCACTTTTGTGCTATTTCACCAGTACTTTTTTTTTTTTTTTTTTTTGTGGTACCAGGGCTTTAACTCAGGGCCTACACCTTGAGAGACTCCACCAGCCCTTTTTGTGATGGGTTTTTTTGAGATAAGGTCATGAGAACTATCTGCCTGGGCTGGGTTTGAACTGTGATCCTCCTGATCTCTGCCTCCTGAGGAACTAGGATTACAGATGTGAGCCACCAGTGCCTGGCACTTTCATCTTTTAATGTACCAGTTGAATTATTTGTTTTCTCAGTACTTTTCAGGAATTGTCTTCCTAATGTTTTAGATTTTTAGAAGGCATTGATTCTTTTTCAGAATGTGACAAGACATCATACTTCTTTGTGTTTCATAATGATTTCTGATGGTTATGTGGATAAAAGCACTGTAAAGAATATTCTTGGCAGCAAAACATTACAATGCATATTATGATATGAAAATTGTGATATGACATTGTGGCAGGATTATTTTGGGTTCACCTGGGACTATTTCAATAAAAAGAAACAAGACTCACCTGGGGCTACTTCAATAAAAAGAATCTCACACAGGTTCCAAATGAGCTCCATTGCTGACAAAATGGAGACCTAAGGAAGAAAAGGAGATATTCCTGAGATTTGCTCTTGGACCAAAGGAATGAAGCAGGGCCCGGTACAAATGATGATCATTCACCAACCCTGGAGTAGCTGGTCTTCCTAAGGCAAGATTTCCCACAGGAGAGAGTTTTAGGTGGTATAATGTACACTAACATTATTCTAATGGTTATAGGGCTAGAGGCATGGCTCAAATGGTAGAACACTTGCTTAGCAAGCATAAGGTCCAGTACCACCAAAAAAAAAAAAAAAAAAAAAAAAACTGAAGTATTTTAATGGTTGTGATTTTATTTTAATGTGCATTAGAAAAGTATGACTAGCACATGATTCAGGTGATCTTGATGAATTACAGTTTAGGAAGGGACTTTACTTGAGTAAAGGGTAGAGATAATTTTTAGAAAAATATCCAGCAAATAATAACAGTAAATCAGAACAAAAATTGTAACACTGCTATTCAAAGGACTGAAGGAAATAGTCCATTAAAGACAAGGTTCTGAATGGGGAGGAGCACAGGGGTGGAGCATATACAAGGCCCTAGGTTCCAGCCCTAGCACCACAACAAATAAAAAAGTGAAGTACCATCTAAAACCCAAAAATAATCAATCCTGGGCCCTGTCCTTAGGAATTACCTCCTGCCCTTAGGAATTAGACACAATCATCCTTGATCATCAGGGGTAAGCATTTGCTTGTTGACCAGATACAGGGTATTATTCCATATTCATTACTGAGTTTGAAAAATATCAAGTCTCTATCAAGGGAAGAGAATTCTGTAAGTCATCTTCCAGTTTCAATGAAAGTATAATCAATCACTTGCTTCTCAGCAAAAGTGATGAGTTCACGAGCTGGGTTTCTGAGTTGTGGTTCCAAAAGCTTAACTTTCTGTATCTGAGGTGACAACTCATCAGTACTATGTAGTTAGAACTTATATTTTCTGTAAGAACTGAAAACTTATCCAAGTATTTATCAAGCAGATCTTTGTGTTCAAATGTGCTAAGTGCCAGTGGCTCACCCCTCAGGAGGTAGAGATCAGGAAGATCATGTTTCCAAGACAGCCTGGGCAAATAGTTTGTGAGACCCTCTTGAAAAAACCCACTGCAAAAAAGGGCTCCTGTTAAAAAAAAAAAAAAAAAAAAGAAGGGCTGGTGGAGTGGTTCAAGGTGTAGGTTCTGAGTTCAAGACCCCAGTACCACAAAAAAAAAATCTGCTAGACCTTGAAGGGGAAACCAGGAAGTTTGTGACGATCCCTGCCACCCAAAATAGCTGCCTGTCTACCTGGAAAGAAGAGGGACTTTTGCCATAACAGAGACTGCAAAGCCACCCTGGGTGGGTGCTAAGGACACAGAAGGTTATAGTGGTGTCAATATAACAAAAGCAACAAACCCTTACCTGGCTACTGAACTGGCAGCCACTGGCTGGATCTTTAGCAGCAACTAGCAAAATATAAAACATTTTAAGTGAGCAGTGAAACTAGAACTTTTAGTCTCATTATTACAGTTTCATATACATACTTCTATGACTTAGGCCTTTCTTTCAGTGACCACCCATTTTCACTCAAGATTTTTTTTTTTAATACTTCATATCCCTTTGCTATAGGATCACTGATTCTCAAATCAAAGCCCTGAGATTACAAGCAGCACTTTCAACTGCACCACAGTCTCTTTAAAGGCCTGTGACAGAGCATGGGGGAGAGGGGCAGGGTGAAGAAATGACCCAAACAATGTATGCACATGTGAATAAATGAATAAAAAATATATAAATAAATAAAAATAAAAATAAAGGCCTCTGACAGAGACATCACCAGTTACACAAGGCTTTACCAGGCACTGAGGAATCACATGGTTCTCAGGCTTTTGGTGATGTTAAATTACCAAGATTAAAGGACTGGGAATGTCATTTTCAAAGAGCCTTAATTTGGGCCTTTAATCTCATACTTTCAAAGAGTCAAGCAACTCAATACACTCTAATTTAAAAAACATACTCAAGATGATCATATATATATATATATATATATATATATATATATACATATATTAAGGATTGTGTTGAGATGGGAAAGTAAGAGTTTAGAACAGGAATGTCAATTTGTACCTCATACTTAACAACCAGATAACTTCAAATATTAGCAAGTGAACACACACAAATCCTTACTTGCAACCTGGTGCATTTCCTCCATGCATGCTCTTATGACTGATCGGTAGTTTTTACTCACTCGAACCAATCTACAAAAAAAAACAAATAACAAATAAGATGAACTTGAAACATTTTATGGTACCAGAAAGGGAGCACTCAAAATAAGACAGACATTTGCCAAAAAAGCAACAAGGTGCCAAGTAAGCGTGAAGCCCTGAATTCAAACCCCAGTACTGGCAAAAAAAAAAAAAAAAAAAAAAAAGAGCAACAGGGCCAACTTGAAAGAGTGTCACATTTCAAAGTTAGAACAACTTAAACAACAAAATTTCAAAAATATGATCCAATCCATGGGATAAAATACCCATGAATTCATACTGATGTTAATTGTTGCAGATGAGATCCACTGATAATCACTAAAATCAGAAAGTAAAATCGAGAGGCCAGGAGCTGGTGGCTCATGCCTGTAATCCTAGCTGCCTGGCAGGCAGAGATCAGGAGAATCACGATCTGAGGCAAATAGTCCTCAAGATCTTATCCTGAAAATACCTATGTACAAAACCACCATCCAATAATTAGGACATCCACGTATAGATTCATTCACTCAGCAGCTCATACAAAGCTCCTGCATACTGATACACCAGATAAGGGAATGGAGGGTTCCACAGGAGTAAGACTGGGTCTCCTGTCTTCAAGAAATTACAGAACTGGTGACATAATTTTTTTCCTAAAATTGGCAATAGACTTCTGGGTCATCATATTCTATACCAGAGCCTCTCAAAATCAGTGATTCCCACCCTCATCCTCCCACCCCTCCAAGTTTGTGCGTTGACCGGGGTATTATCCCAAATCACTTGTTTGTACAAAGCCTATCAAAGAAGGAGGCAGGATGGCTCACATGTCTGTAATCCCAGCACTCAGGAGGCTGAAAAGTCTCCTAAACTACACAGTGAGATCCTTCATCTTGGGATGTAGCTCAGTCATAGAGCACTTGCCTAGCAAGTACAAGGCCCTGGGTTCGATCACTGGCACCACAGGAAAAAAAAAAAAACTTATCAAGGAACTGATACACCAATACTGCTTATGCCCTAACCATGTGACTGGGCAAAATAAATCCACATGACTGGATGCCAGGAGTAGGGGGGGAAACCTCACTTCTGTAGTACTAGCTACTTGGGAGGCTGTGATTGGGAGGATTGTGGTTCAAGGTCAGCACAGCAGATAGTTTCTGAGACCACCCCCCCAATCTCCAAAATAACCACAGCAAAATGAACTGGAGGCATGGCTCAAGTGGTAGAACCCCTGTTTTGCAAACATGAAGCTCTGACTTCAAACCCCAGTCCCACCAAAAAAAAACCAAAAAACAAAATTCACCTGTGTTAGGATACAACTCCAGAGATTTTTATTTTGATGATTTGAGGTTGAGCCCAGAGGTCTGCAGTTAACAAGTAACATCCTTCTATTGATGCAATTAGTGATAAACCATCTTTCCAAAACTTACAATATGTAAACAGTCTGATCAAAAACTCTTAGAAGGAATGCTTTAAAGAAAAGAAACTAAAGTATCACTTTTTGTTTGCTTCATCTTTTGAGACAGGGTCACTCTATGTAGCTCAGGCTAGCCTCAAGCTCACTATGGAGCAAATACTTACTTCTAGCTCAAGAGCCTTCTGCCTCAGCCTCCTGAGTGTTGGGATTACACACACGCTCCAACATGCACAGCTCAAAACTATAATTTTAATATTAATTTCTGAGCCTCCCAACAATGGAACCTAAAAGAGTCTCAGGACTTATTTGGCCTAACTATCCTTCTTTGGAGGGTAAACAAAGTAGGAATATAGACAGAAAAGCTTATCAAGCCAGCAAGTCAATCAACATTTCCTTTATAATGTCCCATGCCTGGTGATGTACACTGCCCTGTTCTAAGGGCACAAACTAGAACCAGGAGTCTTGATTTCTCTAGACAATCCTTCCAACACTCAAAATAACAAGGATGTGTTTCATTTAGCTTTTTACATTTTCACAATCTAGTTGAGGACTTGAGCACCTATCAGCAGCAGACTTACTGAGCTTTTCTGGATTTTCCAGTTAGTTCTTCTTCAATTCTCTGGAGACCCACAAAGATTCCATGGGATTCATTGAAGAGTTTTCTCAAAATCTGAGAGTAAACATCTACATCTTTTCGGACAATATAAATAAAAGGGCAACCTGGGACCTTCTCTGATTTTTCTGAAATAAAACAGGAAAAAAAAAATTTTAGTATCTATCATTTATCCCAAAAGAAAATTTATTAAAAAATCTTTAATTATTGAATTACAAAAGCTTCAGCCTTTTTTTTTTTTGGTGCTGGGACTGAATTCAGGGTCTTGTGCATGATAGGCAAATGGTCTACCACTGAGCTGTATCCCCAGTCCAATAGCTTCTTTTTAGTTTTTGTTCCTTTGTTTTGTTTTTTACTTTTATCTTTCCCTTTTTTTTTTTTAATAGTACTAGGGTTTGAATTCTGGACCTCACGCTTGCTAGGCAGGCACTCTACCACTTGAGCCACTCCATCAGTCCCACTTCCACCATTTTTCTAGCCCTGTTTTCTGTTGGGCATTTTTGACGTAGAGTCTTGTGAACTATTTGCCCAATTTGGCCTCAAACTGAGATCCTCCTGAATAGCTAGAATTAGAGGCATGAGCCATGGCACCTGGCTTTGTCTTTTCTTTAGGTTTCTTTTTTTTTTTTTTTTTTGTAGTACTGGGGTTTGAATTCAGGGCTTCATGCTTGCTAAGTAGGCACACAAGCACTTGAGCCACACCTCAAGTCCTAGTTGGATTGTTTGGGTTTTATTTATTTATTTATTTATTTATTTATTTATTTATTTATTTATTTTTATGCTGAGCAATCAAAGCCAGAGCTTTATACATGCTAGGCAAGTGCTCTACCATTGTGCTACATCCCCAGACCTTGGTTATTGAAACAGGGTTTCAGTAGATAGCTCAGGCTAGGTTGCAACTCATTATGTAGACCAGGCTGGCTTCCAACTCTTGATCCTCCTGCCTCTGCCTCCACAGTGATAGGATTACAAGTATGTTTGATCATGTATGACTAAAGCTTTAGATTCTCTGCTACTGATTTTATAAAAAGTGATATGAGTTACCACTTATCCAGTACACACACATGAATTTTATATTTTTTTTCTTTTTGGTGCTAAGTACATACTCTACCATTGAACTATTTTCTCAACTCCTACTTGTGAATTTGTAAACATAAATGAATATTATCAGACAGGCACCAGTGACTCATGCCTATAACCCTAGCTCCTTAGGAGGCACAGATCAGAAGGATATTGGTTCAAAGCCAGCCTGGGCAAATAGTTTGCAAGACCCTATCTTGAAAAAAAATCCATCACAAAAAAGGGTTGGAGGATAAGATCACCTGACAAGTAAGTGTGAGGCCCTGAGTTCAAACACCAGTGCCGCCAAAAAAATAAATAAAAATAAAATGATTATTCTCAGAAAACAAGGAAAAAAAAGGTCATTCAGACACATTCACAAAAGAATCCTGAACAACAGCCTTTTTGGCAGATTCTATTCTTTTACCAAGCTTGGGATCTCAATACTCATATATCCTATAAGGATTCAGCAACAGAAAGTTTTTTGTAGTACTGGGGTTTGAACTCAGGGCCTCATGCTTTCTAGACAGGCGCTATACCACGTGAGCCACTCCGCCAGCCCTTTCTGTGTTGGGTGTTTCTGAGACAGGGTATCTCGAACTATTTGCCCAGGTTGGCCTCAAATATCAATCCTACTATCTCTGCCTCCCAAGTAGCTAGGATTGCAGGTGGGAGCCACCGGCACCCAGCCAGGCAAGCCTTCTACTACCGAGCCATATCCCTAGGCCAATCTGAATGTTATTAAAGATAAAAATATCTTAAAAAAAAAAAAAAAACCTGTATGTAACACCAAGAAGACCTGTTCATTTGGGGGTTGGTGGGGAGGTGGATCTGGGAACATGGCTCAAGTGTTACAAATGCCTGCCTAATAAATATGAGGCTCTGAGTTCAAACTTCAGTGCCACCAAAAAAAAAAAACCATCTTTTTTTTTCCTAGACCCAACATCTTCTATGTCTCATAAGTCAAGCAAATCTGTAACAGCTAGTTTCAAATATGAAAATAGTGGTGTGGCTCAAGCAGTAGTGTCTGCCTAGCAAGTGTAAAGCTCTGAATTCAAACCCCAGTACTACAAAAAAAAAAGAAAACAGCGCAAAATAAGGTTAACCACGTGGTGCCTCACTTGGACAAATCTCAGAGAACAAAGAACAACCAAATGTGCCAAAATACATAATATTGAAAAAAAAAAAACTACCTTTTTTGTTGAAGGAGGTTTCACATACCAGCATCTCTCCAGGACCCCAGTCAAAACACATTTGCTTCTTGTTAGAATTCACACCTGGAATCAACTATTTAAAAAAAAAAAAAAAGGGGAAGGGGCATAGAAACTGTTATTCCTACTAAAGATTTTCCATTTCAATTGACTTGAAAGTAAAATCTTAGAAATCAAGTCATGAAAGAAGTGCTAATCTACATCCACAAGTTCGTGTCGGTCATATTAGACCACTCACTCCCTGAATAAGCACGTCACTGGGCACCTCAACTGGGCCTGCCACCTCTCATGTTAATGAAAAGGAAACCTACAGCTAGAAAAGGGGGAGTCAAAAGGTAAAAAAAAGAAAAAAAGAAAAACTGAACACTGAGCAGGGAGTCATGGGACATGATTACAGGCACGGCCTGTAATCCTAGCACAGGGGAGGCCAAACAGGAGGATTATCATTTTGAGTCCAGCCTGCTCTTTGGGCTGCTGCTTCTTACCAAGACATATGACGGCAAGTTTTAATTAGCACCTTCAAGGATGTGTAAGCATAAGTTCAAAGACAATAGATTAATCTTTCCTAGTTTTTTTTTGTTGGTGGTGGGACTGGGGTTTGAACTCAAGGCTTCTAGCTTGCAAAGCAGGCAGTCTGCCGCTTCTCTAGTTTTTATAAATGGCTTGTCTAGTTTTTATAGATACTTGGTGTAGCCCTTTGGTTCAAGGACTCTTAAGAAATAAAAGTTGAGGCCTGTGAGTGGTGGCTCATACCTGTAATCTTAGCTACTTGAAGGCTGAGATCCTGAGAATCATTCAAGGCCAGCATGGACAAATAGTTTAATAGAACCCACCTCCAAAATAACCAGAGCAAAATGAACTGGAGGTATGTGTTAAGCAATAGAGCCCCTGCTTTGCAAGCACGAAGCCCTGAGTTCTGACCCCACTTCCACCAAACAGAAAACAAGCCTATGCTGGTGACTCATGGATATATTCCTAGCTGCTTGGTAGGCAGAGATCAGGTGGATTGTGGTTCAAGGCCAGCCCTGGCATATAGTTCTAGAGACCCTGTCTCGAAAATACCCAACACAAAAAAGGGCTGACAGAGTGACTCTAGTGGTAGAGTGCCTTCCTAGCAAGTGTGAGGCCCTGAGTTCAAACCCCAGTACTCTGGGAGTTGGGGGAGAGGGGAATACAAAACAAAACAAAAAGCAGAAATACAAGTTGGACTGGGGTATGGTTCAAGTGGTAGAGAGCTTGCCTGGCAAGCTCCAGGTCCTGATCGTAGCACACCTAGAACCCGAGTGTCTAGGCGGCTAAGACCAGCTTGACTACATAATGAGACACTATGTCCAAAAAAAGAAAAAAATAAGTTATAGGAAGTTCTCCCCAGAAAAACGCTTTCAAGTGTTTTAAGCATGAGAAAAAAAAAAAAAAAAAGGGATGGGTGGGGGAGTGGAGAAAACGTGCAGCTCAAGGCCCTGAGTTCAAATCCCAGTACCACAAAAAAGAAACTGTTTTAACTGTTCATTACCAAAAAAAAAAAAAAAAAAAGAGAGGCAGAAATTTCCAATTCTACATACAGTACCATCTCTGTAATGGTGACTCAATTTTTCTCTCCTGCTCAAACCAATCAGTCCCTTGAGCCTCAGCTTCACACATCCAACTGCCTTAACACACCTCTATAGGTCTATAGGTGACCCAACCTGTAGAACTACATTCTATAACCAAGAGTTAAAAAGGACGGTTTTTTGGTTTTTTTGACAGGGGTCTCACAATGTAACCTTTATCTCATGGACTTCAGTGGTCCTCCTGCCTCACCAAGTAGTTGGAACAATGGGTATGCAACACTGTGCCCAGGTTATAAAGATACTCTCAATGCCCATCATCATTGCACACTCACACTTAGCCCAAGTCTTCCCCAGTTGTTAGAAGCAACCCTTGAGTGAGGTCATGAGTTTAAACCCCAATACTACCAACAATAAGTAAATACAAAAGTAACCCTTGACTCTTCTCTTTTCCTTACCACCAAAGTCCAATCCATCACTAAATCCTGTTCTACTCTAAAATAAGCCTGAATATAACCACTTACCACCGCTACCAGTTTAATGCACACCGTAAACTCTCATCTGAACCATTGCAACACCAATTCTTAGCACTTGAATGATTCTCTTACATGGTTATGATGTACTGTAAATAGATAAAGCTCAAAGGGTTGAGCACTTTAGGATTCTCATTCACTGCCTAAAAGTTGGCATACCAAAAATATTTTTGACCAAGAATGATTTTGGCTGGCAATAGTCTGTCCTCAAGACAAGTGTATTCAGTTCTTAAGAAGGCCTAATACAGCCAATCAACAACTCGGCAAGAAGAAAAACAAAGACAAAAACAACAAGAATAAAAAAACATAGGCATCAGAACTGGAGCTTGGCTCAAGAGGTAGAGAACCTGCCTCGCAAGCCTGAGGCCCTCAGCTCAAACCCCAGTACCACTAAAAAAAAAAAAAAAAAAAAAAAAGTTATTAAATGTTTTGCTGTGCTACTCTCTAGAAATACAATAATGTAAAAAGCCAGCAGTTTATTGAGGAAGACCAATAAACAGACAGTCCAAAAAAGTAGAAGCTGGGCATGGTAGTTCATATCTGTTATCCTAGCACTGGGGAGGCTGAGGCAGGAGGATCTCAAGTTTGAGGCCAGCTTGGGCTACAAAGCCAGTGCCAGTGCAGTCTAGGCTATGAGACCATACTTAAAAAAAAAAAAAATGTATATATATATATATATATATATATATATATATATATACACACACACACATACATATGCCAGACACTAATGGCTCATGCCTAGCTACTCACAAGGCAGAGATCAGGAGGATAGCGGTTCAAAGCCAGCCTGGGAAAATAGTTCGAGAGACCCTATGTGGAAAATATACAACACAGAACAGAGCTAGTGGAGTGGCTCAAGTGGTAGAGCACCTGCCTAGCAAGCATGAGGAAACACCAGTACCATCCCCCAAAAAATAATAAAATAAAATAGAAAACTGGAAACAACCCAGGTACCTATCAATAGGAAGAATATACAAACTATGATACAATCATACAGCGCAATAATACTCAGCAGTAAGAAGAAACATACATCTGGGCACTGGTGGCTCACACCTGTAATTCTAGCTACTCAAGAGGCAGAGATCAGAAGGATCTCAATTTGAAGCTAGCCTGGCAAATAGTTTGCAAGATCCTGCCTGGAAAATACCCATAACAAAAAAGGTCTGGTGGAGTAGCTCAAGGTGTAGGCCCTAAGTTCAAAACCCAGTGCCGAAAAAAAAAAAAGAACATACCAAGTTATACCACATAGGTGAATCTGGAAAACATGCTGCATTGTAGAGAACTGTACAACAGCAAAATGATATAAAGTTCAAGAGCACATGAAACTAACCTTCATGCTTAAAACACTTGAAAGCGTTTTTCTGGGGAGAACTTCCTATAACTTATTTTTTTCTTTTTTTGGACAGAGTGTCTCATTATGTAGTCAAGCTGGTCTTAGCCGCCTAGACACTCGGGTTCTAGGTGTGCTACGATCAGGACCTGGAGCTTGCCAGGCAAGCTCTCTACCACTTGAACCATACCCCAGTCCAACTTGTATTTCTGCTTTTTGTTTTGTTTTGTATTCCCCTCTCCCCCAACTCCCAGAGTACTGGGGTTTGAACTCAGGGCCTCACACTTGCTAGGAAGGCACTCTACCACTAGAGTCACTCTGTCAGCCCTTTTTTGTGTTGGGTATTTTCGAGACAGGGTCTCTAGAACTATATGCCAGGGCTGGCCTTGAACCACAATCCACCTGATCTCTGCCTACCAAGTAGCTAGGAATATATCCATGAGTCACCAGCATAGGCTTGTTTTCTGTTTGGTGGAAGTGGGGTCAGAACTCAGGGCTTCGTGCTTGCAAAGCAGGGGCTCTATTGCTTAACACATACCTCCAGTTCATTTTGCTCTGGTTATTTTGGAGGTGGGTTCTATTAAACTATTTGTCCATGCTGGCCTTGAATGATTCTCAGGATCTCAGCCTTCAAGTAGCTAAGATTACAGGTATGAGCCACCACTCACAGGCCTCAACTTTTATTTCTTAAGAGTCCTTGAACCAAAGGGCTACACCAAGTATCTATAAAAACTAGACAAGCCATTTATAAAAACTAGAGAAGCGGCAGACTGCCTGCTTTGCAAGCTAGAAGCCTTGAGTTCAAACCCCAGTCCCACCACCAACAAAAAAAAACTAGGAAAGATTAATCTATTGTCTTTGAACTTATGCTTACACATCCTTGAAGGTGCTAATTAAAACTTGCCGTCATATGTCTTGGTAAGAAGCAGCAGCCCAAAGAGCAGAGAAAACTACAAGTATAAACTATTAGTATTCAGAATTATTTATTAGTATCTGGAGAAAGTAATGTGAGCAAACGCAAAAAGTAGATTCAAACCTTGACACAGTCAGTTTGAAATTGCAGAGTTGAGGTTCAACTCCATACTATGGGGTTCTACCAAGATGATGCCCTTTTACAAGGTTCTGCCACCAATGCCAACCAGTTTTCTACCTGGTTTCCCTAGTGCCAATATAGTGCTCGATTATCAGAAGTACATCATGATTATTTGCCCAGGGCTGGCTTCAAACCAACGTAGCTAGGATTACAGGCGTGAGCCACCAGTGACCTGCATGGACACAGCTCTTAATGGATATTTAATATTTAAGGTAGTTTATTGATAGGTGCTGGTGGCTCACACCTGTAATCTAGCAACTCAGGGGGCACAGATCAGGAGGATCGTGCGTAGTTCAAAGCCAGCCCGGGCAAATAGTTTGAGACCCCACCTCGAAAAAACCCATTACACAAAAGGGCTGGTGGAATGGCTCAAGGTGTAGACCCTGAGTTCAAACCCCAGTACCACAAGAAAAAATAAAATAAAATAAAAGGTACTTTATTATTATTTGGTATTTAGCACTCTTCAGGAGTAAGCTTCATAGAGAATAACCCCCATTAATCTGCTTTTTTTTTTTTTGGTGGTAATAGGTTTTGAACTCAGGGCTTCTGGCTTGCAAAGTAGGCATCCTACCACTTGAGTCACATCTCCAGGAACTGGGGTTTTTTAAATTCAGGACTTCAAACTTGCAAAGCAAGTACTCTTCTGCTTGAGCCACACCTCTGGTTTATTTTGCTCTTGTTATTTTGGAGATGAAGCCTCCCTAACTATTTGCCTGTGCTAGCCTTGAACTGCAAGTAGGCTGAGATTACAGACGTGAGCTACAGGTACCTTGCTCTGTAAACTGCTTTTAAGATCTCATTATCTTGTTTTTGTTTAATAAGCTTCAAAATGACCCTTATTTTCAATTTTTGGTCTTTTTGCTTTACAGTCTGATGACTCTAACTTAAAACTAGAGGAACTTCAACATTCTAAAATGCAAAAATACAACAGCAGTAACTTACAATTTAGTGGGGCTTGCAAGTTATTGAGAGTTAAGAGATGGAGAACTCTAAAAGCCTTAACCATATATGACCTGGTTAAGGAGGTCAAGGCAGACTTTGATAAGAAAGAGGCTGCTGGAGCTTGATTTTGAAAAATGAGCATGAAATAAAACCAGAAAGAGAAGAGTCTCCTGCGAGAATGGTCGATAGAAGGTATCACCTACCTAATGCCCATGATTCCTTACACCTCCCCCCTTTTCTGAGAAATAGGAAAAACTCGGAGAGACCTAAATTCGTTTAATAAAGCTTGGGTCAGCACAGGACGACAAGGTGCTGCGATGTGGGGTTTATTTTGGCAGAAAGAAAAAAAAAGCCCCAATCCCTCTGCTTAGTCCACTTTAATGCCCAAAAGGAAAAACCAGGGAAACAGAAAGGGAAGAAACACAAGGGAAAGGGCAGGATAGAGTGGGGAATCCGAGGCAGGGACTGAACATACAAAGCGCAGAAACCCAGCGACCACCACCACCCGAACCTAATTCCTAGTTAAATGCAGTAACCTCTGGACAGTGACAATTCAATCGAGGGAAAGGGACGTGCATCCGGCATGATAGCAGACAAGCCTGGAATTACGAAGCAGGCGCAGTCCCCAGACCGCGAGAGCAAGCCAGCCTCCTCCGAGTGCCCTTACAGTGACTGTCGGCTCGCCATCTAGCTCCTCCATAGCGCCGCACCACACGATCTGGACCTCGCCTGGTTGCAGATGCTCCCAGCTCAGGCCTCCCGCTCAGAGCCTGCAGCAAAAGAGGACCCCGAGCGGGCGCCTTCTGCAGCGCCTGCAGAATTAACCTCACACGGGTTGCGGAGCCCTTTCATCTCAGCCACGAGCCACTCCTTTGCAGCCCTCCAAGTGTCTCGCCTTCCTGTCCTGCACGGTTCGCCAGGGAAAACAGGGGCACGGATAACCTGTCCTCACAGGAACCTTCTCAATAGATCAGGCAGTGCCGTGGACAGCTCCGCGCCGGGTAGGGAGAAGGCCCCCGGAGACAGCGGGAAAAGAGGGAGGCAGGCTAGGCGCGAGACGGTGCAACTGCGCGTGCGTGTGTTGAGGTGCGTGCTCTGACGCGGAGGCCAGAGGCCAAGCTTTCACCAAGTTCAGGACCTGTCTTGGTGATGGCAGTGTTGGCTCCCTCTGGGTCTTTGGTTTGTTCAGAGTGCAGCTGCTTCTTTGAACCCCTACTGTACAACCGGCTAGTGTTCGAATCACTCGCCGCCACTTCAACCCCAAAACTAAGAGCCCACAGACAAAATTGATGCAGCTGGGCTTGCTTAATTAAACACAAATACTGCTGTAGTAACCTCCGAGGAAAAACAACAAAGCACTCAAATCAAGGGATCCCTATTCCAGTTAGGGAAAATTTAAGGACTGGAGGCGTGGCTAAATTTGCTAGGGCGCCTGCCTAGCAAACAGGGGGCCCGAAATTTAAACTCGAGTAACCCCCAAAATAAGAGTTGCGTTTTGGGGGTTGGGGTGGAGGGGTGGACTGGGTTTGAACCTCTTGAGCCCCGCCTCCGGCTCATTTTTCTCTGGTCATTTTGGAGATGGGCTCTCACGAACTATTTGCCTGGACTATCCTACAACAGCGATCCTCCTAATCTGAGCCTCCCAAGTAGGTAGGATTGCAGAAGTGAGCCATAGGTGCCAGCTAAGGGTTACATTTTTTTTTTTAAATGTCAGAATTGCACAAATAAAAGGGGTTAAATTTTCTTAGTAGCATATAGCACGTAAGTAAAAATAGTAATGTTTCTAAAACTCCAAATACACAAATTTTGGGGGTATTGTTTTGGGTTTTTTGTTTGTCTTGGTTTTGTTTTTTTTTTTTTGAGACAGTCTCGCTGTGTTAACCACACTGGCCTGAAACTTACAGTCTTCCTGCCTTAGTCTCCCCAGTGCTGGGATTAAAGGCATGTACCATCACACACAGCTAAACTGCGATTTTTCTTAAATCAGTTAAAACAGTTGCTCATTTGGTCAGGTACTGTGGTGCACTCCTGTATTCCGAACGCTCCGGAGGCCTGATCAAGATTTCAAAACTAGCTGGGACGTAGCTCATTGGTAGAGAGCTTGCCTAGCTTGCGCGAGGCCCTGGGTTCAATCCCAGCACCAAAAAAGAAAATATACCCACAAAAAAAAGAGTTCAAGACCAGCCTGTTATGCATATTGACACTCTGTCTCAAAAAATAAAAGAAAAAGGGGAAGGAAGGGAGGGAGGAAGAGAGGAAGGGAGGGAAAAAGAAAATTCATAATTTAAGTAAGTCTTTGCTTGGGAGATTAAGATCAAGATCAAATAATTCCAGGGTTCCCATCTGCAAAATAACCAGAGCAAAATGGACTGGACCAGCGGCTCAAGTAGTAGAGTGCTTGCTTTGCAACCACAAAGACCTGATTTCAAACCCCAATCACACCAAAAATAAATAAATAAATAAAAATCAGTCTTGAAAATGTAACAGCATTTACTTTTCTACTTAAGTACCAAATTTGGGGGGAGGGGAGATTAAAGAGAATGATGGAAGGGGTGAATTCAACTACAATATATTTGCTATATCATTAAGAACGTTTGTAAATGCCACAATGTACCCTCACCCAGCACAACAATAAAAAAGAGAAAAAGGAAGGAAGGAAGGAAGAAATCAATTTCAAAAAACAAGGGACATGTGAATAAATGAATTAAAATATATACAAATAAATTAGTAAACGTAAAAAAAAGCAAGGGAAGCATATCAATGTTTTACCTGTGGGAAAACTTTCCTTGAGTTTAGTGGCCTGTTTAAAGTGGGGGAAATTAGGGGAGGGGGGATAAAGGAGGATGATGGACAGGGTGAATTTAACTAAGATACATTGTGAGTACTTTCATAAATGTTACAATGTACCCCCAGCAAAGCAATAATATGATAATAAAATTTTAAAGAAAGAAAACCTAGTGAGGAAAGAACAACAAAAAAATGGTTGAAATAAAATTATTTGAAGTGATTATGAAAATTTTATCACCCAATAAAGAATTTGTCCTTTTAAAGCACAAATTGTTAAGGAAAAAAAAGAAAATTCTGTGTTCATCTCAATTTCATATAAATCCCTGTCACTGAAGTCAGCCGTCACTGAAATTTAATATAGTTTTGCACAAAGTACAACTGTTCTACCCTGTGTCTTGCTGCATTTTCAAATGTTTCATAGTACATTAAGTGTTTCTGACACCAACAGCATGGTTAGGAGGTAAGAGAAATTGGGCAGTCTTTTTTTTTTTTTGGTGGGAGTGGGGTTTGAACACAAAGCTTTGTGCTTTGCAAAGCAAGTGTTCTACTGCTTGAGCTACAACTCCATTTGGAGGGGGAAATGGGGTTTCTCCAACTATTTGTATGGACTGGCCTCTGAATTGAAATCCTTCCAGTCTCAGCCCTTCAGGTAGTTAGGATTACAGGTGTGAGCCACTGGTACCCAGCTCAGGATTTTCTTGTGCTTACTAGGCAGGCATTCTTATCACTTGAGACATGCCTCTAGCATAAAATCACCTCTATTGAGAGCTACTCAAATAGATATTCAATCATAGAGGAATAGCTAAATAAATATATCAATTAGTTGTTAAGCATCTATTTAAAAGAACTATAAAGCCAGGCACCCAGTGGCTCACACCTATAATCCTAGCTATTTGGGAGGCAAGAGATCAGGAGGATCATGGTTTGAGGCCAGCTCAGGCAACGAAAGTGAGAGTCTATCTCAAAAATACCTGACCCTTTGGGCTGGTGGAGTGATCCAAGCATTGACAGCACCCACCTAGCAAGCTTCAGGCCCTGAGTTCAAACTTTAGTACCACCAAAAAAAAAAAAAAACTGACAAAGAAGTCTGGCTTGGTGGTTCACACCTGTAATTCCAGCACTCACACTTGGGAGGCTGAGCCAGAAGGCTCTAGCGTTTCAGGCCAGTATGGGTTACACAGCAAGACCCTGTCTGCAATTATATTAAATGAAACAAGCTAGACTCATAAAGACAAATACCATTTTCTCTCAAATTCAGGATATAGATACATAAACACAGATAATAAATTCAGGATCTTGTGGTTGCTAGGCAGGTACTGTAACTCTCGAGCAACACCTCCATCCCAAAACTTCAGAATTTTCTATACGGACGGAAACCACTGACTCCTGGGCCCTATTCCTGGAGCTTCTCATTCCTGTAGGTCTGGCTTGGGGCCTAGTATTTGCTTTTCTAACATGCTCCTAAGAGATGTCCAGGAGAGCACCCTTTGAAAACCATCTTTTCCAATTCTATTCCCCCACTTCCCCCTCAGAGTGAGAGGAATTAATCACAAAACAGAGCTTGAAGACTACAGAAAATTCAAATATTGCAAAATATAGCTGTGTTCATTTTGCTCTATATATTTTATGAAAAGGGCAAATATCCACAAGTCACTGGACCTCATTATCAATGAGGAATATAACTATTACTACAGTAATAGACAGATAAGTACAATTGAAGCATTACGTTAGATGAATTTGACATTGTCACACCAATGTAGAGTCTGCCTAACAGGCATTTGGGAGACATTACTTAGGCATTTTTGGTATTCTCATAAAAAGTGCTATAGGAGTTACTATTGAACCTGGTGCCTGTGGCTCAAGCCTGTAATCCTAGCTATTCAGGAGGCAGAGATCAGGAGGATCAAGGTTCAAAGCCAGCCTGGGCAATAGTTTGTGAGACCCTATATTGAAAAAACCCTTCACAAAAAAGGGCTGGTAGAGGGGCTCAAAGTGAAGAGTGAAGGCCCTGAGTTAAAGCCCTAATACCACCCAAAAGAAAAGAAAAGAAAAAGCCTAACATAAAAAAGGGCTGGTGGAGTGGCTTAAGGTATAGGCCCCAAGTTCAAATCCCAGTACCACAAAAAAAAGAAGTTACCATTTTATCAATAAGCCAAGGAACGTGTATTGATTATTGGCTCTCAGGACTTTGTTATTTGCTGAAACTACAAAGAAGAAAGGTAAACCACACATGGGGTACACACCTGTAATCCCAGCACCTGGGGGGCAGAGGCAGGAGGATCATGAGTCCCAGGACAGCCTGGGCTATATCAGAGAGATCCTGTCTCAAAAAAAAAAAAAAAAGATGAAAGGTGATGATACCTGTACACAAAATGTTTACAGGACTGTTCTTTAAGTTATGTTTCTCCAACATATAAATCAAGTAGTTGGAGAACATAAAGTATTACCAATGTATATATTAATATTCCATGAGTGGGGGCTGGGAGAGTAACTCAGTGATGGAGAATTGCCTAGCATATGTGAGACCCTGGGCTCCATCCCCAGCACTACAAAAAAAAAAATTCAGTGAATGTATAATATTATGAAATGGGACAATATTTTTCCTTCATTCTGTACCCCCAATTAATGCATTAAAGAGCTATATCCTTTTCTTTTTTTTTTTTGGCAGCACTGAGGTCTGAACTCAGGGCCTCACACTTGCTAGGCATGTGCTCTACCACTTGAGCCACTCCTCCAGCCCTAGGTTCTTGGTATCAACTGCTGGTGCAATCTCAGGTTCCATCTACATTGCCATCATTGCCATGACCCATGGGAAGAATACTGGAAGGTTTCTACATAATCACCATTTTCCCTCCAGATTTCCTGAAGAATTGATGAACTCAGCACCCAGAACTCCTGCATCATTCACAGAGGTAGCTCAAGGACCCAGCTATGTTACATCAAGGAGGAAACTTGATGGTATCCACTACGCACATGTTTCGAATTTACTTTTGTG